GGGTGTTATTTCTGCTTTATGCAATCCAAACCCAGTAATTTCTCCATCTGACCCATATAGGAATGTGTTGTTTTTTTTTTGTGAGGTTAAAGGGTTTACAGTTTTCTAACAGGGAATTGAACAATCGAGCATCAGCAGCAGCGTCAGTTATAACAGCTAGAAACTCGATCAGGTGTGAAATCTGGGTTTACTGACTGGATCAGAGCTAAACATTAACATAAAACAGTTACAAAGTTGGCCTTCTATCACCTTGAGAACATTTCTTAAGATCTAGAGAAACTCATAAATGAACATACACATATTTGATGTGTGTTGGTGATTTCAATGCCGGCAATTAAAATGTAATGTCTGCCACTGGTTTCTGGCTCTTGTCTGTACGATGTTTTATGTGCAGTATGAATGAACTTGTTTGTTTGCATTCTGCGCAGGTGAAGGGTGGGAAGCGTTTGTTCACCTGTTCGCTGAGACCGACTGGGATCTACGGCGAAGGCCACCTGCTAATGAGGGACTTCTACAACCTGGCTGCGGAACGGGGCGGCCTGGTTATCGGGGGCGTCCCGGATCACATCGAGCACGGCCGAGTCTACGCAGGTAGAAACCTCCACTTCCAAAAACTGCGATCTACTTTTTCTGTTGAAGAGTGGCTTGTGCTTTGTTTGCTTTGTCTTTGAAACCAGTTCAGTGCATTTCAAGGCACAGCGACTTGCATTCGGGCCAAAGCGAAAAGCAGAAGTAAATGTAACACGGCACTTCCTCTGCACTTCTCAGAAGGTTGTTGAGATGTTTGCACTTGATAATATTTACATCAAGACTCTTCAGCAGCTGCTAGAAACGGATGTGTAAGGAAACAAAAATATCAATTGTAGAAATATTTCACACAGTTCTGGGTTTTATACAACTCACGATTAATCGCTAAGTGGCCATTTTCTACAAAATTTTAGTTTCTTTCTTGTATCAGGAGAACAAACCTTATTTCCTTCACACAAATATTCTGGGCTTAAAAAAATAAGATCAAATTTGAACATTATTTTGTGGCAGCTGAATGAATAGAGGATATTAAACTGTGACTTTCTGTAGTTGATCTAGTAGGAATGTTAAAACTTCGGCCTGGGAAGTGAATTAGCTCCCAAAATCAACCGTGTATTTTTCAATCATGTTGCTATTTTTCTGCTACTTTCCTCTCATCACATCGTTTGGGCCTTCGCAGCAAATTAGCACTTTCTTGGCTCAGATGTCAGCACTGCTCCATTTAATGAGCATCAGTGTTTATATGTCCAAACAGAACCGCATCGGACTCTGGACCGCTATCTCTGTTCCGTTCTGGACATTTTTTACTATTTTTTAAATTTTTAAAAAAAAATTCTGATCTGAAAACATCTCCACCATCTTTAATTCTCTATCGACAGCTGCGCTTAAGAATGACCAGTGGCGCCCTCTGCTGGACGGAGGTCAAACTACAACACTAATACGTTTTCTTAGTTGATTGGAACAAATTTTAATCTAATAATCTGTTAATCGACAATTAATTGTTTGCATCCATAGTTTGTTTTATGACCCATGCGAATCATTTTTATAAATTTATTTTGTTTTTCTCCTTTTATTCTATGTGCATTTTGAGCTTCTTTACAAAGAAAAATAAGATAAATATTTGTCTCTCAACGTAAAGCACTTTAGTATGCAAAGGTGGTAGAGAGGTACCTGAAAAGACTTGCAGCTGTAATTGGAGTGAAATTTGGTTGTACAGTGCAGTGATTCAGCTGTTTGCACACAGCGCCACTCTCTACATGAACTGTTCAAAGGGAACAACAATTTCAGGGTGGAGATTTTTCATGCTTTTGTCATTATTCACTTTTAGTCAGGACAACCTTCCATGCACGCATCCTTTTTATATCTGAAATGTTCTGCTATGATGTTTTGATCCTACCAGCCCTGTGGTTTTGGGTGAAATGCATTAATTTCTCATTTGATTGACTGTTGGAGAGACTTGAGAGGGCAGGTTGGTGTTTACCCCTTTGTTTGTGTTGCTAGGTAATGTCGCCTGGATGCATGTACTCGCAGCTCGAGCCCTGAAGACGAATCCCGAGAAGGTTGGCGGTGAAGCGTTCTTCTGCTACGACGAGTCGCCCTACAAAAGCTACGAGGACTTCAACATGGAGTTGCTGTCCGAATTTAACTTCCGTAAGGTCTGCATGCCAGGCATCGTCCTCTATTTCCTGGCCATCCTGAATGACCTTCTGCGCTGGATACTGAGCCCGTTCTACAACTACACGCCGCTGCTGAACCGATACACGCTGGCGGTGGCCAGCACCACCTTCACGGTGCAAACGGACAAAGCGCAGAGATATTTCCAGTACCAGCCCCTTTACAGCTGGAATGAGTGTCTCGCGCGAACGCAGTCGTGGATCAGAACATTCCCAACAGACAAACCAAAGGACAGCTAGCTTCACCCCAGCCTCTGCGAAGTCTTTTCACACGCTGCTATGTAAAGGAGCGGGATCCAGATCCAGAAGGACTTGAGTTTCTTGAAATACCCTGACCTGCGAAAACCTGCAGGTTCATGCAGACGCTGATGAAGAGTGAAAATAAAATGTTAAATCACATTTTAATCACAAAAATACACCATTTCTGGCTTATTCAGTAGTGTGGTGGTTAATAATTAATATTTTATATGAATGTCATTCAGTAACAGTGTCATTGCTTTCCAGAACTGTGCATTTGAGCTTTTCCCTTTAAAAATGTATTTTTACATCCGAAATAAAGCAGTTTAGTGACGTAATTATCACCTGATTCTTTACTCGTTTTCAAGGCTGTATAAAACGCTGACTGGTGTCGTTCAAAAGAAAGGCTGGTGCTGTCTGAAAGTTGAACTGGATGGTCTTAACTTGCCAAATGCAAAGCAATACACTTTATGGTGAGCTATAAAAACATGTAGCATTCAAATGACTTTTCTTTTTGGTCTCTGAGTTTATGACCAAAAGAATAAACAACCATTGTTTATTTTGTTAATGTGTATTAAATATATTTTTATTTAACATCATATTCAAAATTGTTTTTGTTTTTTGGTAATTTTTTATAATTATAAATAAAGAGTAATTTATTCTTGCACCATTGTTGGGTTTTGTTTTTTCAACTTTATGGATATTATTCATGGTGGTATTATTTCTTTTTTATTCGTTTCTGTATCCCACATGTTTCCTTTCCACCCAGTAACAATGTTGTCTTTATTTCCTTGTCTCTCTGGAAACAAGGCAGCGTGTTTACATAATTTTTCTATGTGTAGGACCAACTCCCATTTTGGCCTTGCAGAAACTTGCCACAAGATCCAGCTGGATCACATTTTACCAGTTTGACTAAGCCAAAGTGAAAGGGAGTTCCTGGACTTAGAGATTGTTCGAATGTTTGCAGGGAGTCCCCATGTTTCCATAGCAAATGCAACCAAAACAGAAAAATGAGACAGTGGTTGGATGGAAATAAATATTTATGTTCTGTTTGAAGACTAGCAGGGCTGAGGGGATTTCAAATCTGATTTCAGGGATGTGTTTTCCATTTAAGAAAACATAAAAACATCTTGTCTTCACGTAATCCATAAATTAAGGTCAAGATCCAAAAGTGATATGTAAAACTTTCTCTAGACCGTTGCAAAAATTCTGTTTAAAATGATTTTAATGGATTCCTGCAAAGAGATTTAAATAAACTGAATCTATTTAGACAGTAAATGGTTGAATGTTCCCTTATTAAAATGTTTATATACCTTCTTACCATCTTGAAGCTAAAGAAATCCACATTAGTAGTTTGAAACTTTGAATGTTAATCATCCAATGATGTTTAAGTAACTCTATGTGCCCATAAAGGGAAGAATATGACAAATACTAACTTCGTTTTGGTAAATCAGTGAGAAAAGTCTGGAGAAAAATCTGATTCAGTTTATTTAAATTTAACCAAATGTCTAAAACAGAAACGGCTAATTTATTTATACCAACACCATGCAGTTTGAGACCCATCTGAACCCTGATTTTTAAGAGTTTGAGTCAGTTTATATTGCCATTTGGTCAAAGTTAGAAATCCCAGTCAGCTTAATGAGTCATCGATTGACGAGGATGTGGTGGCAGTGGAAACATCAAGCACATCCAGGCTCAGTGTGAGAGAATAACTGAATAATTGCAAAGACCACCGAGGATGGCTTTGAGAAGACAATAAACATAGAACAAAAAAGCATCTGCACTTAATAGAGTAAAGAATAATAAAACAGGTCTTGAATCAATAAAAATAACACATATTAGTTGTTGGTGTTGACTGAGTTGCCATTGCAACAATTTTTAACTGACTCTGCAAAAACGCTTTAATGCTTCACCAAAGTTCAGGCTTCACTGGCCTTTTAAAGTTTTATTTTGCTGGTCAGAGGGTGGAAAGTTTGGTAACCAGGCATTTTGAATGACTGAGCAGCAGCAGCTCAGTTTTGTTCCTGTTTTGGAAATAAAACGGATTAAATAGGGAATTACTGGGCCAGTAGACATGATGAAAGGCAGACTAAAAATAGCAATTACTTATAAAGTGGCTGTGATACAGACAGAGTTACTGGGATAATTGTATCCTCTCCTGAAACTAACAGAAATGAAAAAAAATTGTTCAGGATTTCTTGTATGGACTTGTGTTTTGGTTTATCACAATAGCGTTTCCATGGCTATGGGCTGATAAATAATATGAAAATAACTCCATCTAGTGGTCAAAATTTATATAACAAATTATTTGAGAGAAGCGCAACCGCCAGAAATTCATTTGGTTATCTGAATTTCTGGATTAAATTATCTCTCATATTGTTAGGGAATCATTTTTAGATATTGAACGGTGAAAAACGTGTATATTTTACCTTCTTTCATTAGACAGTTGCGGTCAAAGTGGTTGTGTACGGAAGGGAGGCTACCTCGCGTGCGCGCGCCCGTCTGCATTCAAGAGAACGCGCACGCAGCTGTCAGTAGGAAATGCTGTTCGTGTTGGATGGATGCACCCTGCGGCTGCACCAGAATAAATTTATGACACATAGCTTATTTTTTAAATTCAGAATGTAAACGTTTTACCTAAACAGTCGCTTTTATTTCATGGGGGTAAATGCAGTAATTCCGCAAATCTTTGTGAGACTTTTAGCTAGCCAGATTAAGTGAAACGGGACACTAACAGCCGTAATGCTAATAGCTACATTAGGCTAATATATGCTAGGTTAGCCGGACGGTTGCTCAGCCCGTGTAGCGGTTCCAATCCGGGGACGAGCCTGCAAACGCAATAGCTTTTGCTGAAACCGGAGCTGTGGCGGGGAAAGGTGGCCTCAACAACCCCCTGGCTGTCCAGGCGGACGGAGCGTAGTGACACGCCGGTTGTTGGTGAGTTGAATGGCGGAGGTGGAGTCGCGTCTGACCGGGGCGCTGGGCAGGGCGAGGCCGTGGACGCTGCTCGCTCAGGGCCTCGGCAGGCAATGAGGGTGTTAACTACCAGCTATTAGTAAACCATTAGCCCCGAATCGGGAAGTTGAGTCGCTCTGGCCTTCAGAAAGGATATGACAACAAAGACGGCTGCTGCTGAGGCGCCTCACCGCTAGCTGCGTGGGACAACCGCAACATTTATGAAGCTGCTTTCTCAGCAAAGTACTGGATCACAGTGATGGTCCGGACGCTTTGTTGAGGTTGCACGCTGTCATAGCAGTTGATCTATAAATTATAGCCACTGTGCAGCTTTATTTACTTCACTTTCTATTCAGCATCTGAGAATGAAGAACCTGACTTCTTATATTAGTAGCGCTATAAGAGACAATGTTTGGTTAAGATTGTTTTTAACCAGAGCTGGTTAGTCACTAGTTACATTTACTCAGTTAGAAATCCCAGTCAGCTTAATGAGTCATCGATTGACGAGGATGTGGTGGCAGTGGAGAGAAACATCAAGCACATCCAGGCTCAGTGTGAGCGAATAACTTGTAATTACTACTCACTCAATGAAAAACAAACATGTTTCAATCAAACATCAGAAACTCACCTGCTGTTTTTTTAAATTTTATTGAAAGAAACTGATTTGGAAATTTTTTTGTTAGTGTCATAAATGATCATTTTGGTCTTTAAAATACCAACATTTTCACTTAACTTTATGTTTTGGTCTGTCTTATTAAATATGAAATGAATGATAATTTGATCAGTTCAATCATTCAATCAATTAAAATTTATTTGTATAGCACGTTTCAGCAGCAAGGCATTTCAAAGTGCTTTACATCATAACAAGCACAAAAACACAAAGTCGTAGAATCAACAATCAAAACATGACATTAAGTCAAGTTCCATCATTAAATTTGTAATTGATTAAGTTTTAAATACAATTGTGGGGTTTTAGTCGAGATTTAAAGGAACTCAGTGTTTCAGCTGTTTTACAGTTTCTGGAAGTTATTAAATTCCTGAGTAGACATTTTACCAAATACTTTTTATTGTTACTTGAGTACAATTTTTGGAAACTCTGCCCACCTGTTTTTAACTGTTTTATATGTCTGTGTCTTTAACCATAAAGCTTTTTTCTTGAAATTATATAGTAAATCTAATTAAGCGTTTTTGTCTTTTTACAGTGTAATTAAACAGTTTAAAATTTCCCCATCAGAGTTTGAAAACAGCTTTAAAATATCATAAACCCACAAATAAAAAAAGTTGAATTGCGATGGAGTTGTATTTGCTTTGCACAAACCAAAATAAACTTTAAAGATTTTTCTTAATCTACTGAAAATAGTTCATTTTGAGAGTGAAAATGTGTTTGCAGAGATTATAGCAAATAAAAAATCATTTAAATATTCATTTTTTCACTGACATCTGAGGTTTTGTATCGGCTAATGCCGATACAAAACCGAAAACAGCTCAATTGACTTAAATGGTTCTTTTTTAAAACACAGACATAGATGTGCTGAATTACAAATGTATTTGTTAACTATGCACCAGCAAACACATTTAAATACACTAATATCCTCACAAGCTTTGGTCAAAACAACAAGTTTACCATCTTTCTGTTTCTATGTCAACCTTCCCATTTAATTAGCAACAAAATAAATGAACATAATTCACCAAACATTGTTACTCAAGATTTTTGGTTATTCTTCTTTCTGATAGTTCTTGTAAATTAGAATTTCCTTTTGTTTTTGAGATTATTTAGGCTTTTATTCTACTTCCATGAGAAGTTCCTTTAAACCCATAAATTCAGCTGGTTTAGCAGAAGAGGAAATGCAGCTTAAAGCCTCCATTGTTTGTAAATTAGGGTAGGTAGCTTTTGTTAGCAAATAAAGATGTATAAAATGCCTTCAAATAAACTAAAAGTTGTATGAAAGTTTCATAATCTCACTCTAAAATGTCAAAAAAATCCACAAAATGTCAAAAAAAAATGTATCCAGTGAAGAAAATCCTAAAACAAATATTTCTTATAAAAATATGAACTTGCGCAAGTATTCGTACTTCTGCTGTTAGTTTTTCACAAACCTCTTCTGTATAAAAGTCAGCATTTCCTGTAATAAAATAAATTAATTAATCGCACGTTAAATTGATTTAAAATGAGAACATTTATGTCTATTTGGAAAACATTTATTAGAGTTATTTACCCTCTAATTTTGCTGAAAAGCTGCCATTTTGATTTTACACTACCTGCCCCTTTTGCCTGTTTTTTTTCTGTCTGAACTCAAGGTTGTTTTTTTTTAATGCAATTTCTTGTTAGAAACTTCATACTCCATTTTAAACGTTTTGTTTTACTTTTATCTATTATTGTTATTGTGACATTAGGTCAAAATTGCCTCAAAATGACAATATTATTGGGGGGTTTTGCAATAATTTTTGGGACAATTTTTGACACTTAAAAATTTCTACTACCCAGAGTTTCAATTTCTATTTCAAGCTGGTCACTGCATTTTACACAACACTTTTTATTGGAAAAAACTCCAGATTTAGTCATGGGTTGGGTTGAAAATCAAAGCATTCTGTTAAAGAGGCTCAACCAGCTTGTTGGTATTGTTTTGAGAAAAACAGGAAGTCCAGCCGACTCACTTATTGTACTTTTAGTGTGAATCTGAGCCAGAAATGAGTCACATACTGGATGAAGCCAGATGGAAAACAACTCAATTATTCATTTTTAATTGGTTATTACCATCATGTACTTTAGTTTCAAGTGATTCCTGCTGAAAAGCAACATGTTTTTAATGTAGTTAACCTTTAAAAATGTTACATTAAGAAGAAAAAGTCTAGATTTGTTCATTTATTTGGTGTTTCTGCACTTATTTAAAGCACTGTAACTAAAGAAAATCTAATTATTTTTTTGTACCGAATCTGATTTTAAACTTTTTTTCTAAGAAAGAAATTACAAGTATTTATTTTTTTAAATTTTTTATTTCAATCAGCCCTTTTGGAAGTTGAATGACATAAGAATTTTTGTTTAATTATGAGAATATTATCACATTAAAGACGCAGTTTTACCATCGGCACATCTTAAAATGATGAGAAATTAGTTTTAATGAGAAAAAAAGCTTCAGTAAAATAAAATTAGTTTAATTTTTGTGCTGAAATTCTAATATTACCACTTTATTCTGGTAATATTATAACTTTTCTGATATTATTTCAACTTTATTGTCTTATTACTTTATTCTCTTATTGCTGTGAATCTATTCTTGTGACATTTTGACTTTTTTTGCATTAAAAAAATTTAGCTTGGCCCAATATTTTTTGTAGGGATGACTTAAATTCAAAGCGGTGATAAATTTGTAGAAAAACAAGAGGGCCACCTTGGGCATGCTGAAATATATAAATCAACGGGATGTAATGGTGAAAAAGAATCCAGATTCTCCAAAAATTAAATCTTCAAACACCAAACAATTGATTGAATGATTAAATCAACTTGCCACTAAACCATTTTGCATGTTTTTTGTAATTTATTTTCTCTTAATTTGTCCCAGAGACCTGAGATTGGAGCCATGGCTGAGCTGTCCACCTTCCCTCCTTCTCCACCTCCGCTGGGCGACCCCAGTGCTGCTCCAGCTTCCAGCTGCCCCGACTCTGTGAAGGAGCTGCCTCTGCCGAAGTCTTCCCTCTACAACGACAAAGCTTTGACTGGAAACACTTCTTCAGCACTTTCCAGGGGTTCGGCCTCGACTGCGCCACCTCAGACGGAGGAGCCAACAGGGAAGAATCAGGAAACGGCGACTAGTGGCGAATCTGTTGCAGAGTCTGGTTCTTCCCAACCTGCAGCCCCGATAAAAACCACGCAGGAACCGTTATCTCCAGATTTAAACCCCGGTCCCAATCTGTACCCAAGCATCCATGTTTCCTCTAACTCAAACCCCGTCGTTGACGTCGCTCAACCGCAAACGAGTGCAGATTCCAACCCTACAACATCTTTGACTAACGATGAGGAACCTCAGCCGCCACAACAAGCACAAAAACCTCAAAATGAGCCGCCGTCGTCCCCAAACCCGGATCTGGCCACCGAAGAACTGCCGACTGCATCCACCAGAGCGGCGCCATTGACCCCAACTGTGCCCGTGATCCAAGAGCCATTTGTCCCGCTGTCGTACCCCAAGCCAAAACCGGCCCCGGACACGCTAAGCTACCTGGACTCGGCCAGCCTGATGTCGGGAACGCTGGAGTCGCTGTCCGGATTGGGAGAGGACGGGAGCTCTGTGGGCTCAGACTCTGAGATCAACGGGCTCACCTTGAGACGCACCGATAAGTACGGATTCCTGGGGGGCAATCAGTACAGCGAAGGAGGGTAAGTCACTACTAACACTCCCTTTCTTCATATTTGATCATCTGCTTCTCATATGATCAAATATTTTGTTCGTTCAGATAGGTCACAGTTTGGAGAATAAGATTTAAAGACTTTCACACCTGATAGTTCGGTAATCTTGGTTCAAATTGTTGAACAAAAAAAAATTACAGAACATTTCTGAAGTTAACCTAAAAATGTAAGAATTTTTTTCTAGCAAATTTTCAATTTTTCAAACAAAGAAATTTTCACGTTTTTTCTAAAGAAATTGTGAAATTAATCTAAAAACTTTTTTTATCAAATATCTAACTTTTCAAACTTAGAAATTTCCTAAAATTTTCAGAAAAATTCTTCTAGTTAATTTTTGACTTTTGTAGTTCAGAAATTTCTAAATGTCTGTCTAGAATAATGTCAAAATTTAAGAATTTTTTTTCTCACAAATGTTTTACTTTGGTGCGCAGAAATTGTCCATGTTTTTCCTAGAAAATTCCTGACATTATTCTGAAAATTTAATTTTTTTTGCCAGGCATTTGCTCCTTTTTTTCCCTGAATTTTGAGATTTCAGTATCAATATTGCACAAAATAAAGGTGTGAAATTTAATAAGAAAATATAACGTTTGGTGATATTATGTAAAATGTTTTTTCTTGTTATTTAGTGATAAGGAAGTTCGAGTTGAAGTTGCGAGACAAAGGGAGATGAAGTGGCTGGACATGTTCTGCCACTGGGACAAGTGGGTCAAACATCGCTTCCAAAAGGTACACAACGCCAATTCTTCTGAACGATTTACACTTTATTTTAAAATTTACCCTCTTATGCATTTAAATTGTGAACTTTCTGTGAATTTCAGGTGAAGCTGCGCTGCAGGAAGGGAATCCCGTCTTCCCTCAGGTCTAAAGCCTGGCAGCTGCTGTCCGACAGCCAAGAGCTGCTGGAGGCAAACCCGGGAAAATTTGATGTAAAATGAATCATTTCATTTTTTTATTTGTAAAATCTAAACTTTTTATGTTAGATTTTTATTATTATTATATACAATATATATTACTATATTATATATTAAATCCTTAGGGAATTAATTGTCAAATCCTTTTTGACTGAAATATCTGTCAACAATCAATTAATCGTTAAGTGCAGATTCAACAAAAGCATTGAGGACAGTAAAGAAGCTTTATATTATTATATTTAAAAAGGAATTTAATGAGATAATTGCAGAAATGTATTTCTAACATATTAAAATACTTTTAAATGAAAAATTTCCAGAATGTGCCAAAAAATCTTTTATCTGATTAATCGATTGTCTGATGGACAGATTGATCTTGAGTTGCAGTCCTGCTTTTCATGTCTAGCTATCGATATAGATACTACACAGTATTTTCAGTATCTGACTAAAAGTTGGACTGAGTAGAGAGCTTTAAATCTAGAGGTACAAAATGGCTGCAGACAAACAAAATGAGGTGTAATCTTCTTAACAGGTAATCCTCTCTGTCGGCTCTGATTTTTGTCCCAGTCTGAAGGTTTACTCCTTATTTTGTTCCAAGAAAAAACTAATTTCTTTTGAACTTCTTCACCTAAAACCTCCTACTGCATTTTCCAGGATTTACATGGAGTCAAAAGATTATGAAGAATGAATTGGGGATGAAACGATGAATTCGATTAATAAATTTTTTTAAAACAATTGTCAACTAATTTAGTATTTGATTAATTGTTAACTAGAGTTTGCAAACTCAAAAAATGACCATTTGTTGAAAGAACAACAAAATAATTAAGCCAAAACTGTTTAAAAATGAATATATTTTCTCTTAAGACAAAAAAATTCTTTGTCTATAAAAACATTTTAAATAGTTTTTCGCTTCACCTTAAATTCTGTTATTAATTGTTTAATCTAAAAAAATAATCAACAGAAGTTTTTTTAGCTTCACTAAAAGCTATGTTGCATTTTTGGCAAAAACATTTTTATTTTTTTATTTAAAAGAAGGAATTGAATTGTGTTTTTTATATTTTTGTGAATTTTTAATATTCTATCAAAAAAAAAGTAGCTTAAATGGAGAATCTAGAGTGTGTGCCAATTTTTGTTAACCGATTAATCGTCAGAGGAATTGATTACTAAAATAATTTGGAGGTGTAGCCCTGAATAAAATGACACATTTCTTGTTTTTTCTGTTTATTTCTCAGGAGCTGGAGAGGGAGCCAGGTGAGGCTAAATGGCTGGACATCATCGAGAAAGATCTTCACCGGCAGTTTCCTTTTCACGAGATGTTTGCTGCGCGCGGCGGACACGGGTAAATATGCAACGTTAACTGAAAACGTAGCTTAGCATTTCCCACAAAGGCGACACATAAATGGCCCATAAACATTAAGAAAAGTGTTTTTTTTCCCCCGTCCAAGAGTAGAGAGAAAATCTTCCCAATAAAACCTCAGAACTGTTTGTATTTTAACAAAGTTTAATTCTCAATGCGTTTTGCAGACAACAGGATTTATACCGCATCCTGAAGGCCTACACGGTGTACCGGCCCGATGAGGGTTACTGCCAGGCCCAGGCGCCCGTGGCGGCAGTGCTGCTCATGCACATGCCTGCAGAGGTTGGAGCTTCCCCATCATCTCATTTAGGAAAGAAATGTGCTAATTTTGCAGAAACTTGTTCAGAGTTAATGAGATTTGTTTTTAATAAACGTTTAATCTGAACAATATTCAGATTTATTTAGCTTTAGCCTAACAAAAAGTAACATCTCACAACCACAAGCTTAATTAGTTTTTGTACTTTGGGTTACAAACTAGCACAAGTAGAAAAGCTCAAACTTAGATTTGTCAATAAATTTTAGCTGTAGTTGTATGTTGTTACGTTTTTAAAGGCGGAACAAGAAAGAAGCATTTGTAGTTTTTCTTTTTAGTGTTGCGGTGGCAGCATAATGGAGTAGCTCTGTGACGCTGGTTCTGATTTTATTCTCTTTGTTCGTAATCTTCTGGTTGAGACATAACTGGAAAGATTTTATCTCTTATTTTTTTACTTTCAGACAATTAACTTTACATCTCTTTGGTCGCTTTCAAACTGTATGGCCAGACAGAGATTTATAGAGGAGTGGCAAAAGCAAATGAGGTGGATTAGCAGTTAAAGTTGTCCCTCAGCACATGTTACTGTGGAACATCCTCTCTGCTGTTTGAATACTGAGCTAACAGTAATACAGTAATGGTTTCTTCACTCAGGGGCCTGTTGACAAACGCTGGAAGACTGACTGCTACCGGAGTCCTGACGTTCAATTTCCCTTTAAATTTTTGAATTCGTTTAAATTGAAATTACTCGCAAGTGGACGTCTGAGTTGAGTCTGTTGGACTTTTAGAGTAAACAGTGACGGGAACAGATTTTCCTCAGTAAAACGCTAAAAATATTTTACCTACATTTCACAATTAAAGCTTCTTTTTGCTGCACTATTACATTAAAAATTGTTTTAATTCCAGCTTGATGACCAAATTACAGGAAGATTAGTTTATGTCGGAGTGTGACACACATAAAGCCTGTTTTCATTATCATTTTTTGAGTTTGGTGTCTGTTTGTGCCCACTCAGCTTAGTGTGAAAAAAACAGACACAGCAGAAGGAGCTGCAGATACAGAGATGATACAAGAACAAGAAGGAAGCGTTTGTATTTTTAGTACGACTTCTTTAGGAGTTAAAAAATTATGTTTTGCATCCACTTTTGAAGGATCCATATTTACTGAAACTCTTTTTTGGTAGCCCAAATGCAGGAAGAGAGCAAAAATAGAGAGATTGAAGACTGCAAAATTCTACAACTTGTGAAAAAAATATTTTCATCTGCTTACAAATGCTGAAACAAGAGAGAATATGCAGCGATATAAAAAGTATTTACCCTCTTAGATGTTTTACTCTTTTTGTTCAAGTGCTTGAATTTCATTTAGGTGTTTCCATTTAGGTTTGGAAAGTGCTGGATTTCTGGATAAAGTCCTTGAAAGTGGTTGATTTTCAAACTGCACAGTTTGATAATAAATTACAATCTAATGCTTGATTAAATTCCTATTTGTGTGGAAAGCTTTATTTACACTTGAAACCAGATATTTACATGCACCGAATAAAAAGAGACGCAGTTTTTTTCCACTGCCCAAAGTAAAGTTGGACTAAACTTTTATTGTTTAAGTCGGTCAGAATTACAAAAATTATTTCTATTTGCTAAATGTCAGAAAACTTAGTGAGGACATTTTTTAGCAATTTATCTTCTGACTTCTTTGCATGTTAGTTTTTCTTTGACTGATGTTATTTTGTAGATGTTTTGTAGACGTGCGAATGCTGCATTAGAGTGTCCTTTAAAGGTTTTCTGCATCTTTCTGAAACTTAAATAATGGCTAATTTTGTGTTTCGCAGCAAGCTTTCTGGTGCCTGGTCCAGATTTGCGAGAAGTACCTCCCTGGCTACTACAGCGCCGGCCTGGTGAGCGAATGAAGCGACCCGTTTTTATTCTCTCCGTTTCTCAGGGTTGTTAACTTTCCCTTTCTTTTTGTTAGGAAGCGATTCAGCTGGACGGCGAGATCTTTTTCTCTCTCCTGCGGCGGACGTGTCCGATGGCGTACCGCCACCTTAAGAAATTCAAGATTGATCCGATTCTCTACATGACAGAATGGTTCATGTGCATCTTCTCACGCACCTTACCCTGGTCCTCTGTGCTGCGCGTCTGGGACATGTTTTTCTGTGAAGGTGCAACTCATTTTTGCGTCTTTTGTCACACTTAACTTTAGGACGGGAATGATTAATTACGATTAATCAATTATTGAAATAATCGACTAATTTAGTAATCAATTAATCATGAACTGGAGTATACAAACTCAAAGAAATAGGCCATTTGCTTCAGAGCAGTGTCTAATTAAAAAAAAAAACACTTTTGCTGAGTTCATCTTAAACTTGCAATAAGATAAAAAAAATCTCTCAAACCACATAGGACTGAAATGATTGATCAAATTAATCTAGGTTAATCAATTATTGAAATAATGGTCATCTAATTTAGCAAATGGTTAAGAGTCAACTGGAATATACATACTTGGAAAACACAAACATCTTCAGAGTGTTAATTACACAGAGCTGTACAAAAATATATACATTTTGCAACCAAGATGAAAGAAAAAAATTGTTTGCTTGTAATTATTTTCTACCCACAATTCCTTGGGTGGCGTAATTTTCACTTCACCTGATTTCTTTAAAGACAGCTGACAAGCCATGAAGGACAGGAACGATTAATCAAATTAATATAGATTAATCAATTATTGAAATAATCGTGATCTAATTTAGTAACCGATTAATCGTTAACTGCAGAAAAGGCCATTTGCTAAAAAAACCAACCTTGCTCTAGATTTAACTTTTCCTTCTCATCTATTTGAGAGAAATAAAATTTTTTAAATCTGTGCTTGTAGGAGTGAAGATAGTATTTCGCGTGGGCTTGGTGCTGCTGAAGCAGATGCTGGGCTCTGTGGATAAACTCCGGGAGTTGCAGGGAATGTATGAAACCATGGAGCGGCTCAGGAACATCTCTCCCGACACCATCCGGGAGGACGTGCTGGTGCAGGAGGTGAGCGTCTGTCCGAACGTCACACACCGCAAAAACTAAATGTTAACAATCATACTGCAGTTTCTGGTGCAAATACCATGTGTAGGGCTGAAACTATTAATCAGTTATTAACATAATCGACAACTGAATTAGTAATTAGTTAACTAGAGCATACAAACTCTAAAAAAGTCAATTTGCTGAAAGAGCAGCATAGTCAGAGCAGTAAAAACTGTACAAAATTAATTTATTTTTTTATTAAAGATAAGAAGAAACCCAGATGAAAGCAAGGAAAAATCACTCATATTTGTGTTAATTTCCTTCTTCACTGTACAATGTGAGAAATATTTGTTAATATTTAAGTTAAAGTCAAATAAAACTTGCTGCTCATTTTAATCTAATAATCGGTTAATTGGATCCTTAATTCCAGTCATAATGGACATAAATAAGATATTTGCACTAGAAACTCGTCTGCTTGGTAGGATTTTTGGTGCTGTCTTTTTATTTTTAGACCCAGACTTGCGTAATGACTAATTTTCCAGGCGCTCCTCGTCTCAAGCGCCTCACTTCCTCTGTCTGTGCTCAGATCATAATGCTGCCGGTGACCGAGGCGCTCATCGAGAAAGAGTGCAGCGTCCAGGTGAGGAAGTGGAAGGAGTCCAGAGGTGAGCTGACCCACAAACCGGGCCGCCGGCTCCACGGCACCAGAGCCATCTTTGAGTACAAGCGCCGGGCGTCATCCATCAGCTCAGGCGGCAGCTTTTCCTTCCTGGGAAGTTCTGCGCCGCCGCCGGGGCCGCTCCGCGCTTCGTCCAGCCTCCTCTCCCTGCCCGGTTTCCGCAAATCCCGGGCTCCCTTCTTCTCCCAGCCCAAAAAAATCTCCTTCTCTGGTCCTTCTGGGGCGGAGAGCCCGCCGCCTGTTGCCTCGTCGTCGGGCCAGAAGCCGCCAATCCCTCCGGGTGTGGCTCCGAAGGCGTCAACGGCGCACGTCCAGAGCCCGTTAGCCGTGGAGAGCAGCTCAGCACAAATCCAGCCGGCTCCGCCGAACACTTTGTCGCCAAAGATCGTTTCGGAGGAGATCACTCCCACAATCCCATCGCCGACCGCCAACAACACGCCGCTGCAACCGCAACCGCAACTGCAACCACCAAAAGAAGCAACCCCATCTGTGTCCGGAGAGGACGAAGGAAAGAAGAAGAAGAAAAGCAAAGAAGACAAGAAGAAGGAAAAGGAAGATGAGAAGAAAAAGCTGAAGGAGAAGAAAGAGAAGGAGAAAGTTGAAAAGGAGAAAGCGAAGAAGGAAAAGGAGAAGAAGAAAACGGGGAAGAAAAAGGACAAAGGGGCGGAGGAGAACGGAGCGACGGCGAAAGATTCAACCTAGTTTTTCCCACAACAGCTGAAAAAAAGGGAAAAACGGACAGAAAAACCTGATGAATTGAAGAGGTGGTGACTTCCTGTGTCATTTCTGAGACTTTATATAATTGAAAGACTGATGGAGATGAAGACGATGAAGACTGGATTCTGGTTTTAATAGCACCTGGAGGGCGGATTACCTCTCAATGCTTTTCTCCCCCCAACAACTAACTGGAGCACAGGCTGCACTGCAAAAACACAAAGTCTCACCAACGATTCTTAGTCTAAACTTTAGTGCAAATATCTTAGGACATGTGAAATATAACAATACTAACGTTCAAGTTACTTTTCAGCAAGAAATAGGAGAAATAATGTATTATTTCACTTGTAATAATGGAATACTTGGCAGACACTAAGAAAATAATACAAAGAATTAGCATAAAGTCCTGAAATGATGAGAATAGTCGCTATGATGTGAGGATAAAGTCACAATATTACCACTTTGGTCTCGTATTATTACAGCTTTATTATGTTATTCCGATTTTATGCTCGTAAAATTAGAAATTTATTCTTATCATCCTTCAACTTTTATTTTCTTGCGACTTTGTTCTTGTGTTGTTACGACTTTGTTCTCGTCTTTTTGTCTTGGTAAAACACTCCAAAGCTCCTCTGTCTTGCTGAAACGTTACTTTTGATTTAGTTTTGCCTTCTTTCAAGCGTACTGAGATATTTGGTCTAGAAACAAGACAAAAAATATTTGGTAAGACTTTGTGTTTTTGCAGTGACTGATTTTATTTTTTTTTATTTTTTTGCTGAGAAACATTTATTTTATCTTTTTTTTGTCTGTCAGTTCTTACAAAACACGAGGAAGTCTTTAGAAGCGGTGCCATAGTGTGTTAAATTAATTTAAATTAAAATCGAGCTGCAGCTGACAGGATTAACACTCCGTACGTCATGTTTAACTGGATTACGGGGGATAAAACATCTCAAACGTAGGCACTGAAGGCAAAATGGCTTTTTATGATGTTGAGGGTGTATTTATTGTCTTTGTAAATGTGTGTGAGTGTGTGTGCCTTAGTAGATTAGTGAAACGTGTTGTGGACTCCGACAGCTCGCTTTTTTTTTTTGTTTTTTTTTTTTAATGTAATTTCAAACTAATGTTGAACTCTCGCTGTGGTTCTTCCTAAACCCATTACTTTATTTATGTCGTCTGATGGCGAACGCCGAGCCGCTCCGAAACTTTCGTTTGCTTGTTTTTGAGGGGGAATCATAGAAACAAGGGTTTTAAAAATCAAATTTATGTGCACAAATTTGAGAACGTGATTAAAATTAACTTATGGGAAACACCTCTAAAATCAAATACTTTATTTTCTTCTAAATTTGCTTTTTTTATGCCATTTGCCAAAATTATGCCTGAATATTTTCATATCAATTCCAAATTTAATCTTTTTTTTTTCTTTTTTTGCTCAATTTCTGTTCTGAAAAAGAAATTGTCATAAAATATTATAATAAAAGTGACTTTTATTTCAGTCATCCCGTCTGTCGTAAGGCAAGGCTACAAGAACTTTAATTTATTTACAAGAATAAACTCTTAACATTCGCTGAAAAAGACACATTTTTACCAGAAAAACATCTTAGAAAAAAGTTGTTTTAATGAGGAAGAAATCTTCTCCATTTATCAAGATATCATCCTTAAATAATGTTACTTTTCTCCTCATTAAAGTCTGACTTTATTCTCCTAATTACAGCTTTATTCTGGTGATACTATAACTTCATTCTCGTATTATTTTGACTGATTTTATACCTGTAATTAAAAAGAAGAATCATTATCTGGCTCTAGCTTTCCATCATAAAGTTGACCTGAATTCAAAGTCCAAATAAACAAGATGGCCGACATGCTGACCTCACTGGTTACTATGGGAAACACCAGAAGTGATTTTCTAAATTTTCCAAAATCTTGATAAACTAAAACTGACTCTAATTTTAAGAATAGTTTTAATTTTGAATCACTTTAAAAACTTGATGCTATTCTGATTTAATCACTTGAAAACCAGTTTTTATTGTTTGTTTCAGCTGCTGTTTTAAGGTGAAATAAATACATTTGAAACTGGTTATTATTTTTTGTTGGTCTGTCCATCAGTACCATTGGTGGCCCACAGCATAATGCTTCCACCACTCTGCTTGACAGACAAAGTAGTGTAATATCGACACTTCGGAGCATAATGATCCTGCATATTTAGTGTTGCTATTCGCATCATGATCCATTTAAACTGGGAACTCTGGGTGAAACCTTGATGTTGCTGTCAGTTTATAATCCAAAAAGAAGCATTTTTGAGAGGATAAAACCGGTTAAATTGGAGTTTGTGATATAAAACCAATTGGTTTAATTGAGTTCTACCACTTATGCCAAGAAGAAATGTCAAATATTTCTCTACAGCTCTTTGTAGTTTGGAGAACATCTGGAAGACGTTCACATTTGTGCACCTAAATCTTGGTTTTAAGTTAAAAGAATGAATTTGTAATAGACCAAACTTGTGAACAGCACTAAAACATGGGAGACTGAAGGAAAGAGGAGACATTGTTCTGGTGTTTCCTGTCCGTGAGAAATTCTATTCATATTAAAAAAGGAAAGTGTTTTTCTTCTTTGCACTTGTCGGGCAAAGAGAGATGGTATTCATTTCAATTCAAATGAGCAAATTGTACATTTTATCCAATTAAATTTCAATATTTCACAACTTGAGCTCATTAACCAGTGAGACTGTGATTTTAAGGTCTTAAACAATGAAGGATGTTTTTTTTCTTGTTTTTTTTGCACTTGCACCATTGAAGTTATTCACTCATCTGTTTGAAATCACTGCCTTGAGGACCTACTGCAAGGTGCCAGGGTGTGCCAATGTAGCATTAACATCTAATCCGGGTGTATTTATGTACAAAGGAGGTTAATTTAATCAAATATAGAATATTATGAATTATTATTTTCATCTGAATATTTTTCTAAGAGGAAGAGACACCTGTTGGACTGGAACGATGGACTTTTTGCACGTCAAACTTGATGCATTTCTTTTGCTTTTGAGTTTACTCATTGTCGGTTTGGTTGAATTATGTTCAGTGACATACAGTATTAAATGAAAAGAGTGAAAAAGAAAGAAGCGAAGACAACCTGAACAAACTGAGTCCATAGATTCAGGCAAAAACACGAGGAAAGCTCTTCGTACTGTGTGAAACGCCTGAGGCGATTTAATGAGTTCAAGATCTTTGTGTGTTTTAAATCTGACGCTCTAATCTATTTACACTCAGTGTTTTGTACTGTAATCTTTATGCATACATGAAACGGCACTGAACATGTTGAGAAGAATACCAACGGCGAATCAGGGCTGTTGTAGGTAGAAAAAAAAAGTAAATGTCCACCGAAAATTCAGAAAATTTTGAGCTTTATCTCAGTAATTTTCTTTGCAAAAAAAAAAATGAAGAAAATGTTTGATTGCCACAAGTAAAATATTTATGAGAAAAAAAATTATAAATTTTGAGATCAATTTTAAGAATTCGCATGAAAAAACTTGAAAATTCTGAGTTTGAAAATTAAACTAACATTTTCAGATTCAACATTTTCAGATTCAAATTTGTTTCAAAATGTGAAAATTTTAGACATTTCAACTTGGAAATTTTCCAAGTTTTATTTTTTATTTTTTATTTCTGAGATTAATTTCAGAATTTCTGATTTTTTTTTCTTGCAAACTTTCATCTTTTGAAACTAAGAAATTTCTGTTTTTTTCTAGTAAATTTCTGAGATTAATCTAAAAATTTTTATTGCAAATCTTTGGTGTGGAGCTTTTTTTTAGTCTTTAATTTAAATAAACTCTCGCAAATTTTAAAACTCCAAGATTTTTTTAAGATTAATCTACAAATTTTAGTTTATTTGGTGGAAATTTTCTTTTTTTCCCCTGTTTTTATCTACCACGGCCATATTAAGGCCTGGTAAAATAGTGCCGAATAGTTTGTGTAAAACCTTTTGGTGGCTCAGAACAAACATCAAGTCTCTGTTCAGCAGTTATTTAGTCGTACCTAACATCTCCTCCAGATTCATTGTTTATGTCCTGACTTTGATGTCATTTACCTTCATATCTCTCATATTTCATCATAGATCAGTGCAACGTAACAAACCACATCTATGCAAACCTTCTTCCATCACGACTGTTGATGTGTGCAGCAGCAACAGTGAAATCAGCTAAAAAAAATCAATTCTGTGCTTCAGTCGGTGAGTTTTCTGCACACTTTCAGACGTTTGGTGAGCAAATCCTCCTCACTGAACGTCGATTTGCTGAGAGCGATGTGGTAAAAGTGAATCTGACACTATCTCTAGGTTCAGCACTTGGCTCTGCAATACTGAGGATAAATTAAAACTAAGTGGATCCTCGTCTGTCATTTCTGCGTTAATGTTGAAGCTGCTTCGTTGGGAATAACTCCACTGATGCAAGTACTTAAAGTGTTTCTCTCAATGCCGTTACGTCTTTTTGTGTCTTTTAAGTTTACATCTCTCTTTCTCTCTCTCTCTCTGTGGCGAAAGTGAAATAATAGCTAAATAAATTCATTCCTTCAGATTGACAACTGATGTATTTATAATGACGATAATGACAGTTGTGATGAGTAATAAACCGTAATATATTAAGTCATCAGGGTGTGTGTGTAATTTTGTTTCATCCTTAATTTAGAAAATGATTGGATTGAAATGAAATATCTTTCTTTTTAGCTATGAAAAGTCAAATTTTATGTACTGAAGCCAAGAAGAATCTTGATTGATTTCCTTTCATAAGTGGAGCATTACAGCATTCATCAAACTTTACTGAAATTAACTTGCTTTTTGCTTTATAACGCCAAATAATTTTATTTTAGTTGAGCTGACACATTGAACACATTATGGGATGGATTCCTTGGTTATTTAGTCAGTTAAAAAAGATATTTTAAAACGGTTGTCCAATATTAGATAATCTTGAAATGGTGATAACGTTGGTAAATTTGCGATTTATGCATATTTTTTTGTTTCTGTCTCACCTGATCGTCCATCACTCTGTTAGCAATGCTAACCGTCTGTGGTGACCAAGCTTACACAATCCAGATCAGCTTTTATTTCACGACTAAAGCATTTTGAAAGAAAGGGACCCAAATCCTGTTCTTATTGTGAGAATAAATTTGTTCAATTGAGTCCAAAAGAATTTGAAAACCGGATTCTGTTTTTTTTTAAATGGCAAAAGTGCAAAATTCTTTTCAAACATCCCTTCCTAGAAAGAGAAAAAAAATTGGACTTCTTCATTTGCTTCATTTTATTTAATTATTTTTGCAATTTTTGCCGACATAACAAAAGATTTAGCTAAAAGTTTTCCAATTGTTTTGTGTTTATAAAATACATTCTCTTTTAGAGTAAAACTCTCAAAGTTGTCAGTTAAAGTGAAATTAATTTGTCTGCAACCTTTACAACTTTTTCCACTTTTGCCCTCAGTCCAGGTTAATTACCGTATTTTCCAGATTATAAGTCAGTTTTATTTTTCCGTTTAGCTTTTGCTGCAACTTATGTTTATATTTTTATTTTCTTTATTAATTTAATTGTCTTCATGATAAATTTTTTGACAGTAGCATCAAATGTTAATTCATACCAAGGATTAAGCATTACTTCTCATCAGAATTTTTAAATAAATGTGACTTGTAGTCCAGGAAATACGGTAACTTTTTATGTATTTACTGCAGGGAATTTGTTGTCCCTTTTTAAAGAATAACAACTTTATTTCTATTTTTAGGTTTTAAAGTGAAGAAAAAAATGATGGATGCATTTTCTCGTATTAGTTTGTATTTGTAAAAAATTATGACAAGAAAGTATCTGATATTATTCTGTTAACGTACGTCTTTTGTAAAAGAACAAAAAAACTATTATATTTATATTTAAAACCAATTATTGTAATTTTGCCAAAGATATTATGGAAGGTATTTATAGAAATACTTATTTTCAGCTCATGTATTAAGATGTATAAAAAATACTTTTAATTTGGATTAATAACGAGAAATGTTGTAATTTTTAGCTTGGGTTTCATTGTTTTCCTTTAAATAAATATCTCAATCCTTACCAGGAAAATATTATTTATAGATTTCCAGTGACAGAAAGAGTATAGCTTCTGTATAGCTTCTGTTTTAGAGAAAAATACTAAATTATTTGCTTTTGGATTGTTATAAAAAAAACTATAATCTTGTTTCCTACAGAGCCACTGAACAAGCACACACTGTAAAAAAGCAAAGTGGTTTTTATTCACATTTTGTCCCTTTATTCATTACAGAGGAAAGGCATTGAAGGTCACTGGATCTTAGACAGCTTATGGAAAAGAAGAAGATGATTTCATGAAAGCGCGAAGGAGTGAAGGGAAAGAGATCGAAGACGTTAATGTTTTCTTTCGTCCCGTTCTCCCCATTCCTTCAGCTGATTGTTGTTGTTTTTATTCTTTTCACGGCAGGAAAAGCGGCATCGCTTTAACGATGCTTTTCCAGTTTAGTCAGAAAGCACTCTCACTTCCTCTCTGCTGCTTGCAGCCAAAATGGACGTTCTCACGCGTTGGAGCGAGAACCAATTAACCCGTTTTCCTCTCAGATACCGAGGGAAAGGCAGACAAGAAACAAAATGAAGAGAGGTGGTTCGAGTAAATCTTGATGTTGGAAATGTCACAGGATAATTTTATTGGAAAAGAAAATCATCCCTATTCCCCATAAGCAAACATAGACTTCCCACAGGCGTCAACCGAGTCTCTGGGTGTGATTGGTTGAGCTTGTGGGTTTACACAGAGAGGTGAGCAGGGAGGAAGAGGAGGAAAGAGGAAGGCAGAAAGCAGAGGGATGACTGTCTTTCTCATCTTCGTCTCTCTTTACTCCTCCTTATCCTCTCCGTGTGTGATGACGTAGCAGATGTTCTTGTAGTCTACGTTGCCGGCCACATCTGGGGGGAAGGCGGCCCACATGTTCTTAACCTGCAGGGGGAAATTCATCGAGTCGTTAATAGAAATCCTGTGAAATTAGAATAAATTACGCTTTTCAGACACTTGGATAAACAAAAGAGCCAGTGAAGTTAATCAGTCTGACAGATTTTTGTGTTTTAAGCAAAGTTTTTAAATCTTCAATAGGATTTAGATCCATTGTGCTTCCTGGAAGAAGTTAGGATCGCTCTATAGGCGATGCAAAACATTCAATATATATTTACATATACATATGTATTTTGCACAAAATCATTCTTAAAGGCGTATTTAGGCATATTCAACAAAAATAAATGAATTTCTGCCAAAAAAAAAAACTCAAAAACTCGAGAAAAAAAACTGAAATTTTGAGATTAAGCTCAGAAACCTAAAAAAATTCAAACATTTCTGAATTCCAACACGGTAATTTTGTGAGAAAAAAAACAAGAAAAAAAATTGAGCTCCAGAGTCAAAAATTTGCCAGAAAAATGTTTGAGAAACGTGAACGTTTTGGAGCAATTGGAGAAACGTTTAAACTCATAAATTTGTCCTTTTAGGAACCAAAACAGCTGGACAGGCTGAGCTCTTACATCTTCTGGGGAGAACCTGTCGCACTGAGTGGTCAGGAGCTCCTGGAGGCTGGAAGACAAAGATCCAAAGGTTGAAAGGAAATCTTTTCACTGGCCTGCAAGGAAATCCAAAAACAAGGAAATCCAAAGTTCTTACAATTCCTTCTTGATGGTTCCGGTGCCCTCAGGGTCCAGGACTTTGAAAGCAGAGAGAATGACATCCTCGGGATCAGCACCTGATACAAAAACACGGTTTAGTCAGGTCTGCTAATGCTAACTAATGCTAACTCCCATTCAGTGTTTGTTGGGTAGGTAAAACGGTTCCCACCCTTCAGCTTCTCGCCGAACATGGTGAGGAAGACGGTGAAGTTGATGGGGCCGCTGGCCTCCTTGACCATGGCCTCCAGCTCCTCATTCTTCACATTCAGTTGACCTGAACGGAGCAGAACCGGAAATCAGCACAAGAGGCCGGGAAAAGGAAGCGACGCGGTTGCAGAACGGGTTGCAGGAAGAGCTCACCCATTGAGGCCAGGACGTCCCTCAGGTCGTCTTTGCTGATGATGCCGTCTCTGTTCTGGTCAATGATTGTGAAGGCCTGAGAAACGGAGGACGGTTTGTTACTGGGGAACATTTTCACACGTTGGAATAACAAACGGGTGGGAAAATACACAAAAACAGACGACAGTCCTCTGGCATCTCCATCCAAATGCCTCTAGAGTTATGAAAACAGAGTCCACAATGCAAAAACACCGAATCTTAACAAGTATCTTTGGTCTAATTTCTTGTGCAAATATCGTAGTTGGCTTTAAATAAGACAAAACTAAATTACAAGTAACTTTCCAGTCAGAAATAGCAGCTTGTTTTCAGTCAACGATTCACTTTGAAATAAGTGAAATAATCTGGCAAAGGAACAACTTTTTCATTAATATTAAGGAATTATTTACTTAAAACAAGCTGCTATATCTTGCTGAAAGGTTACTTGTTAATTAGTCTTGTCTTGTTTTATTACTGAGATACTTTAACTAGAAACTAGACAAAAATATTTGGTAAGATTTGGTGTTTTTGCAGTGCGGGAAAAGTTCAAAACTCAAAAAATGACAAGAAAATGTCTGAGCTCCAAAACCTGAAAATACGAGAGAAAAAAAACTCATAAATTTTAATATTAAAATTAATTTAATTGGAATTAATATTTGTTTTTCTAGTAATTTTTTTTTTAGAATCTAGAAATAAAACAAGACAATTTTTGATCTCCAAAGATGTAAAATTTACCCCCCCCAGAAATGTTAATGTTAATACCAGAAACTGATAAAAAAAACAAAAGTTACTTGAACTCCAAAAATGAAAAACTTATGAGAAAAAAAAACTTTTAATCAGCCTCAGCAACTTTCTCGAAAAAGACTCAGAGTTTTCTGAGTTAGTTTTGTCTTATTAAAGTGTATAGGAATTGGACTTGGTAATATCTTGAGTTTTTGCAGAGTTCAGGGTTCAGCTGTGAAGTGCCTTTTCTAAAATGTCAGATTTGGCCTTCGGGGTCTCGGGGACGGGGTGGCGGATCCGCCCTCTGGCCTCCCTGGTCTTTTTTTGGGAACGTATCATCCGGGCCCAGCTGTCCGATCCGCTCTACGATGTGCCAGTGTAACTTAAGACACTCGGACTCAGTCGCCAACCTTTTCCTCAACCCTCCAGATTCGCTTTGCTATTTCTTCCCCTTCCCGTTTTACCCGCAGGCCGTTTATGTGCTGATACCTGCAGATGCTTTCCATCCGCGGAACGCGTTAAGATCGCTGCAATCATCGTGCCGTTCCTCCACTAAGTGCCACTCAAGAAGCCGGTATCGTTTGTCACAGATGGCATGTTTTCTATTCGGGACGTCGTCATTCAATCTGCTCACAGCCAATCCACCGAAAATTTAATCTCTTTGACTTTTAATGCCTGCGTTTTTATAAACTCACTCAATTTAATGCTGAAGTTCTCCCTTTTTTTTTTTCTATTTTGCTTCTTTGTTGGAGTATTTGCTGTAACAAAGAGCTATGAGATGTTTGAAGAGCAGCTGAGCAGGAGGTCAAAGGTTGAGCAAAATATGGAGCGCCTGAAATGCCGTCAAAGTCTCTAATCACA